CAGATTGACACAGGATCTCCGAGAGGAAAATAATTTACAGGGCATTAATCTAATGATTAGAGCTGTCTACAGTCCCCAGGTGCCGTGGCCAACTGTATCTCGGAGGTCAGTCTGGCCCTTTGTGTCTGTATGTCAAGGTGTATATGTGTCCAGGTGTGTGTGTATCTGTCAGTGTGTTTATATGTATATATCTGTGTGTTAATGTGTATTTATATCTGTGTACATAAGCATACATTAAAGCAATCAAACACCAACAAAACAGGCAAGCGCACCCTTGCAAACACAAACATTACATACAAACACTATTGTCCTAATTCTCCGCACTATCATTTACTTGGAATGCCTGTTCGTGTCTGCTAGACACCTGTTTTTATTTTAAAATACTGCTGAATCACCAAAGACTTCCAGGTATCCAATTTTGCTTATATTATAGCTTTGATAAAGATGAAATAATTAGCATGATGTGTGTATCTCACAGACCTAGAAGGTGTTTTTTAATTTCCAAAACAAGTTAGAGGATGTCATGTACAAACCCTTCAGACAAGACACACTGCTTTTTTCGTAAGAAAATAGTTGCTAAATTTAGTCATATAAGCATTCTCATTTTTACAACGAAATGCAATTTACTGGCTGATGTCAGTCAACAAGGCTGTCACAAAAACATAGCCTTCAGCTTCGGCAAATGTATTTAGTGGAAAAGCAAATAAACTACAATGCCACAGCTATTCAGTAGCTTTATGGTTTTCTACATGTAAAAAAACTAATTCCTTAAGTAAATTCTTTAGCTAAGGTTACCATGTACGAGGTCTCGCAAACTGTTAACCATTATACAGGTTAATTGGGCAGAACAAGTTAAAGGGACACTATAGTCACCTGAATAACTTTAGCTAATGAAGCAGTTTTGGTGTATAGAACATGCCCCTGCAGCCTCACTGTTCAATCCTCTGCCATTTAGGAGTTAAATCCCTTTGTTTACGAACCCTAGTCACACCTCCCTGCATGTGACTTGCACAGCCTTCCATAAACACTTCCTGTAAAGAGAGCCCTATTTAGGCTTTCTTTATTGCAAGTTCTGTTTCATTAAGATTTTCTTATCCCCTGCTATGTTAATAGCTTGCTAGACCCTGCAAGAGCCTCCTGGATGTGATTTAAATTCAAATTAGAGATTGAGATACAATTATTTAAGGTAAATTACATCTGTTTGAAAGTGAAAACTGTTTTTTTTTTTCATGTCTCTGTCAATCATAGCCAGGGGAGGTGTGGCTAGGGCTGCATAAACAGAAACAAAGTGATTTAACTCCTAAATGACAGTGAATTGAGCAGTGAAATTGCAGGGGAATGATCTATACACTAAAACTGCTTTATTTAGCTAAAGTAATTTAGGTGACTATAGTGTTCCTTTAATTAAAATTACCCGATCAAAGATAAGAACAGAATAAAAAAAAATGTTATTGGGTTTATTCCCACAAACACAGCCACACTGTAAATAATATACACACTTTATAGGGATTGTATAGTGTAATGAATACAAACCTGTATTCCTAACACTATAGCTTGCTCTGTCTCCCCTCTATCTCGTGGGTTAAAACATCTTTATTCACTTACCAATCCCAGCGCCAATGTCACTCAGATGCCTCAGATAGCCAAAGCCATAAGCTAACTAAACGTGTTATTTCTCTCTCACACAGTGTGTGTTTCAAGGTGCACAGCTCTGAGAATTACTGTTCCAAATTGTTATTCTCCAAACTGTCAATTTTCTGGAATATGGCGTTACAGTTCAGTCAAAAAAGCAAAAACAAAAGAATGAAAGGATTGTGTAGAATTTAAAAGCTTGTATGTATTTTTTCTAGCTAGAGGGCAGAGATAAAGTGTACCAGTTAGAACATCAATACCAACTTCAGTCATTTATACATCAACATTTACATACTATTTGAAAAAAAAAAGTATTGTGCCACCTTCAGGCTTGAAATATTTGTGAGAGGAATTGGCTTGCTCTGAATGGCTGTAGTATTGATGAATTAGAAACTATGGTTTCATGGTGACACTTTTATACAATGCTAGCTCCCCCTGCTGACTAGAAATAGTACTTCCTTCAAGTTTTATTTTTAAAAATCCCTTTAATTTGATTTGTGCATCAAGCGTGTAATATACAAATAAACAAGAATCATGACAATATATATATAGAAGTTTTGTAAAATGTTCTCTGAAACTGCTATGTTTATAAAACAATGAGTTAACCCTAGCTGGACCTGGCACCCAGACCACTTCATTAAGCTGAAATGGTCTGGGTGCCTAGAGTGGTCCTTTAAGTCTTGAGGATGTAGCTTTTCAAATCATATGTTTTACAGTTTAGAAAGGATGAGAAAAACAAAATATATTTTAAAGAAGTTGGTTTTCTTCTAAATTTAACATTTTAAAACAATTACATTTCAAAAAGAAGATTCAAAAATGTAAATAGAAAGAGCTTTATTAAATAATAGATTTTTTTGAGAAACGGCTTATTTATATATATATATATAAAAAGGTATCTTAAAGGTCCACTATAAACACCCACACCCAGGGCTGCCCCCAGAAATTTTGGGGCCCCTGACACAGCCCACGGTCTGGCCCCCCGGGGCCCGCCCCCAAGTCAGTCATGACCTGCCCCAAGTCAGCCCACATGACCCGGCCCCAAATCCACCCACAGGGCCCATCTTAAGTCCACCCACAAGGTTGACGTTTGTGTGTGTACTGAATTTGTTTGTGTGTATAGTGGCTATAGAATGTGTGTAGTGGATACAAAGTTTGTGAGTAAAGTGGATACGCTGTTTATAGTGGATTCAGATTGTATCTTTGTGTAGTGGACAGAGTGTGTGTGTGTATAGTGGATGCATTGTGTGTATAGTGAATGCAGAGTGTGTGTGTTTGTGTACTGGATGTAGTATGTGAATAGTGAATGCTGATTGCATGTTTGTGTAGTGGATGTAGTGTGTGTATAGTTAATGCAGAGTGTGTGTTTGTGTAGTGGATGTAGTGTGTGTGTGTGTGTATATAGTGAATCTGTGTAGTTGTCTGTGTAGTTGATATAGTGTTTGTGTGTATAGTAAATGCAGAGTGTGTGTTTGTCTAGTGGAAGTAGTGTGTATATAGTGACTGTAGAGTGTATGTGTAGTGGATGTAGTGTGTGTATAATGAATGCAGAATGTGTGTTTGTGTAGTGGATACTGTGTGTGTGTGTGTGTGTGTGTGTGTGTAGTGGATGCTGTTTGTGTGTTTATGTGGTTGATGGTGTGTTTGTGTAGTGGATGCTGTGTGTGTGTGTGTTTGTGTGTAGTGAATGATGTAGGTGTGTTTGTGTAGTGGATGCAGTGTGTGTGTGTTTATGTGGTGGATGATGTGTATTGTTGTGTAGTGGATGCAGTTTGTGTGTTTATGTGGAGGATGATGTGTGTGGTTGTGTAGTGGATGCATTTTGTCTGTTTGATGATGTATGTGTGTGGTGGATGTGTGACAAATGCCGCTGGGATGAATTTTTTTGGACAGCAACACCTGGTCACCGGGTCATCTTGTTTAAGTTATGTTACGGTATAACCCGGTGTAGTGAGGGTTAATACCGATTAAGGGATTCACCTTTACAAGGGAACAGCAGCTCACAAACACTCGAACCCACCGAACGGGAAAAATACGAAATCCTTCTCTCCTGGAACAGGCAAAAGAATACTCCACAGTAGCAATCTCCCCAATCACGAGACCAAGCTCTGTATTGAGGGTAAAACAGGATTCTGATTTATTGAGGGCTACCTGCCCAGTATTTATGCAGGTCTCCCACCTGGTGGACACTCCCCTAGGGGACCAGTTGGGAGACTGTGACAAGGGACAGACACATATCAATGACAGACATACAAGGGGTAAAACATTCCCAGGATATACTGCGTTCCCGTTTCTCTGTACTGGGAATAATTGGGAAGTAATTCAATTATCTCCCAGGACAGAGGCAAATCGCCATTACCCACTAGGTGACAACAGGAGAGGGAAATGCAATAAAATACACAATGTCACAAATGATACATAATACATATACATGTAACACATCCCCAGATAGCTTTGGTCTGAGCACACATTATTACTGAATGGTGCTCAGACCACACACATACAGTTCAATTTCCATTGAGCCAAAATCTTTTATTACACGAATAGGCTCCATGGCATAGCTATCTGGGCACAACATTCACTAAATACAAAGTCCCAATTGCTCCGGCATTCGGCAATACGACCGGAGTTAGAAGCAGGGAAGGCTGACGGCTCAGCGGTGTTCGCGAGTAAAAGTGTCTGCTTTTAGTTCACTGAGGCTGGGCTGCACACCGCTGGCTGTCTAGGAACTGTAGAATGCCGCCACCGTGCGGCCGCCCTGTGTAACCGCGACCAACCTGTAACAGTCAATTAAGCTGCGGTTAACCGCAGCTACTGGGTGGTCAATTGATGGCACACGCTAGCTACGGGGAGGTCAATTGGCGGCACACGCCAGTCGCGCCTTCATGCGTTGGGAAATAACAAGGGAACACACGGAGACTGTACGGGCATGGAAATAACTGAACAAACACACGAACGGAGGGAGAATAAACACAATCCACAGACAGATGGTTCTGTCACAAGTTATATATCAATTATAAAAAACAATAAGTGTAAATAAGCTAGTGAGTTTGTGTAAGAGCCCCAGTGTGTTAGTGTCAGTGTGAGTATGTATGTTTGTATCAGTGAATGTGTGTGTCACATCATGCCATGTTCTGCAGAGAAGTCTGGTGATGGCTTCTAGTATCCAGTACTCTTTTTACAATTCTTGTTTAGTTTTTTGGTTTTCTATTCTATGTCTGGTTTTCTTTATGCTGGGTTTTTCTGGGTTCATTCCTGTATTCCGTCCCTGGAATTCCCAGTCTCTTGGATTCATTTAAATGTTTGTTTTATGTTGGCACACCCGTATTTTTCCATCATTCCTTTTGTTTCAGTGTTCCTGCAGGCAGCTGCTCAAGTCGTCTGCCCTTTCTTGCAGGTAAGTGCTATGTGTGCTCTCTTTGGTTGGTTTAGCTTGCATTAGGCAGAGTAGGACCTGCCAGATATGGGGTACATTGGCGTTGTTGGCAGGCGTATGCAATGTATGATCATATAATGTAACTAAATCCAATGGATTTTCATATATATTGCTTAGTTTTTTTCTCCTCTTGTTTTGCCTGTCATATCTTGTCTTGTTTTAGTTTGTATTCCCAGTCCATGTACAGTCCTGTCCCTTATGTATTGTGTACATGTTCTAGGTTTAGCTTTCTATCCTTCTCTGGTTCTGGGTTCTAGTAGTTTTGTCTTGTTTTCATGTTTGGTGCTCTTCTAGTCTTGCCTTGTTTTCTGTACTGGATACATTCTTGCTGCAGAGCCTCCCTATCTAGTTGCTGGGAGGTCTGCATATCATCTAACTCTTGGGATCCGCAGTAGCTGTATCAGGGACCTGGTATGTGGCCGCACAAACGCTGGTGCTCAACACCAGAGGGCGTGTGGTTACCCTGCACCAGACCCTGATGATCCACGTCCACGCTGAAGACTCCCAACTTCTCATCAGGCACTCAGGGGTCCCGGTTTCCATACTGCCACCCGTGACAGTGTGTTTCAGTGTGTCTGTGTGTGTGTGTGTGTGTTGTCTGTCAGTGAGTGAGTGTGTGTATGTCTGTCAGTGAGTGTGTATGTCAGTTAATATGTGTGTGGTTGTCTGTCAGTGAATGTGTTTCTGTCAGTGAGTGTGTGTGTGTTTCTGTCAGTGAATGTGTGTGTAAGAGTCAGTGTGTGCATGTATGAGTCAGTGAGTGCATGTGTGTGTATATATTAAAGGAACAGTATAGGGTCAGGAACAAACATATTCTTGCCCTTGTAGTGTTAAAAATAAATGTAGGGTCCCTGCCTCCCTCTTGCCTCCCCTTAACACCATTAAGGCATACTATGCCGCCCTGCACATTATGGGCTTAAACACTGTTAGGACGGCATGGTTCACCCTAACAACTGTTAGTCAGAGAAACGTACCTGACCCAACAATCCTCGTTGCTCCCAGTCTGGGTGGACTGCCTGACATGCCAAGCAGTTCCCCTGCTGCCAGTCCGGTCCTCCCGCAATCACATGGCTGTCTGCAGCTCTGCCCTCAGGGGGGACTGCCTGAGATATCTCAGGCAGTGACCCAAAGTGAAAAAAAAAAGTTTTTGTGATGTATTGTGTTACTTCATTCTTGCTTAAAAAAAACACAAAAAATGGTCATATTGGAAAATAAAATAATATTGTCGAATGTTGGAATTCAAGTTTTACTTCTTGAATAAACTTTGTTTTAATTTATTTCCCTGCATGTCATCTTGATGTTTTGTAATATTTTCATTGTGTATTAAGAGAGGGGCGGCAGAATCGGAGTCCGCCCCGGGCGGCAAAATCTCTAGCTACGCCACTGCATTAATTACTTACAGTATTTGTCTTCTGTATACAACAGCTTTGAGACACAACTCAGGAAGAGATGCAAAGCCAGTAAACCACTCAAGGACAGCTGTTTCATTGTTAATGCAACTCAGAGTGAGGTTGGTCACTGGCTTGCTATTGAAATTTGGTGTTATGTGTGCAGCACATACCAAAAGAGTCATGGTGTGAAAAGAAACCTGATTAAAAACCCCTTATGTATACATACTACTAGAGTAATAAGTAATGATGTTATAATGGGGAAAAAAGTTATTAAAAACTAAAATGTGTGCGGTTTCTTACATATATATTGTTTGCTAGCTATGACTCTTTATTGCTGAACCTATATTGCCTGATATGTTCTTGATGTACTTACTCAGCACATTAAAAATAAAGAATCTAAAAAAGATAATTACAGCATATTAATGAGGCCAAAGCCTATTAAATGCATTAAACTAGTATTGGTGCCCACTACTGGTGTCCCTTTAAGCTAAAATTATTTTAGTGCTTAGAGTGCCCTTTTAGTAGACTGTGTGTTTTATTTTTTTATAACAAGTTAGGTTTCAGCCACATTATGGTCTGGTAAAAGCTCACAGAAGTTAGAAATCTAAGACAAAAATAAAGTTCAAGATGAGCATTTATACAACTCTTTCAATTTCATCTTTTGTGAGGTACAGTCAAATAAACAATGTTTCTACTGTACCAACATTAATGGAACCATGACCCAGCTTAGCCCTTTAACGCTGTTATGGCATACTGTACCGCCCAGCGAAAGCAGGGCTTTAACGCTGTTAGAGCAGCATAGCACTCCCTATCGATCAGCTGTTCCCCTCAGTCCAGATACTTACCTTCTGCGGCGATCCTGATCGTGAGACTGCCTGACAACCCAGGCAATACCCCTCCTGCAAATCCGGCCCATGTGATCACGATGTGGGTTTGTGACTAAGCAGTTACTACAAAAGACTGGGCATATCCCATTTTGAATACCCTGGATTGTCTACTTTTGCAAATGGTATGCCATGACGAGGGTGATTCTTATTCTTTGGCTGCCATATGGTCTTAAACATAGGCCCAGAAAACCAGTCTGGCAAATTTCAATGTGTAAAAACGGAAATGGGCAAGCGTTCTTTTTGACCTTGTCCAAAACAACATAACACCTGTTCGTGGGCGGGTATCATTGTACCCATGCGACATCACAACATACAAATATGTAGGTTTTATTGCAGTAAAAGCTAACACTATTATAACATTCACAGTTTAAATGCCATGTAGAAGTTGGAAAATACATTTCTTTATTCATATTAAATTGTGTTCCATATATAAATATTTAATGTGAAATGAAAGCCCTATTTTTCCTGAACAAAATATTCTGTAATAAGTGTAGGTACACTTAATATGAAAGTAGTAAATTATGGTTGAACAGACATATAGTTACAATTGTAGGTTTTGTTTTGCCTCATCCTTAATTGGTTAAGGGGTTACAATCCGCACAATGTAACATACAAATTTTTTGTTTATAACGATTAATATATAAACTAAAATATAAAAGTAAAGAGTCCTTTCAACTACGATTGTCATTTCCTGTTTTCTTCAACGCACAAGTTTCAATTTCATAATTATAAAAGCTAGGAACTTCCCCTAACATATTATTTATACTTTAGATACACGCTAAAGCATTCAGAGGAAACAGGACACTTAAACTGTAAGTATTCAGTATTAAACTATATACTGCGTGTGTGAATGTATACCTAAACATATATGTAAATATGCACATGCATGCACATCTCGCTATATCTATCTATCTATCTATCTATATCTTCGATAGGGCTTTGACAGTGTATCAAAGGTTTGCCATGGAATTCCCCAACCGGGAATATATATATATATATACATACACAAAAGACATGAAAATAACAATTAAAATTACTCAGAATTTATAGTAAAAGATTTGTGAAATTGCCACTAAATGCTTATGCAGAGGCTATGTGAGACTAACCCCCCCTTAATAATTTATTGTATTTTTAATGGTGTTCATTTGCAACTGGCTGATTTTGAGCATCAAATTCAATTAAGTCTATAAGGATTTTCAAAAATATATATGAAATGTTGTATGAAACTGATTTTTTTGGCTTCCAAACTTGTATCTGGGTGCTAGGAAGGAAGACAGAAAGTCACCCACAGCAGAACGTGAGGACATGATTTAAAGGGGAACTAACTTTTTTTGTAGAAATTTTATTATGTTTACCTATCGTCATATTTAACAAATATGTACTTGCAAGTTGTGCAGAATAAAATGAAATGTAGAATCCCACCATCTTGGCTCAATCAGTGTTGCAAGCTCTGTCCTATGCACCTGGCAGTCAGTATACAGAAAGCATTAAGAGAAGAGGAGTAATGAAACAATGTCTTATTTCCCCTTCTTGTTTGCAGTGTGTGTCCTGACTTTGTCTTGTCTGAACTGGATTGTGAACTTAACTCGCTGAATTGTTAATATACATTTATAAGAAAACAGAACATCTAACCAAAATATGGCTAATACAAGTTCTAGATGATTTTCATTGGTTATCAATGTTATTTAATGGTGTAAATTCCAGAAAGTCACAGTTCCCGTTGATTGGTGATGGGTGAATATTGCAATTTCAGCTCTTATTGTAAAATAGTAGAGAGGTGTTTATGAAGATTAATGTAAAAACTAGAACTGAATGGTCTCAAGCAGAGTCAGCCAGGAATTTAAAGTGACTTTCATATTAAGCCCCCTAAGGATGGTGGGTGATCTATGCTGTCCTGGCGGGGTGGTCTCTAACACTGCAAGGCATCAAGGAACGTCCCCACCGTCCTTTGAACTTACCGGGGGGCCTGCCGGCGGTCGCAATCCTGGGGACAGCCTGGAAGCCCAGGCAGTCCCCCTCCGGCAGATTCAGCCCTCCCGGGCCATGTGATGGCATGGTCCTCGTGACCACATGGCCGGAATGGCTGTCTGCAGCTCTGCCTGCAGGCGTACTGCCTGAGCTCGCAGGCTGTCCCTCTAATGCCTGAAAGAAAATTTTTAAAAGTTTAATAAAGCTTTAAAAAACAGTTTATAAATTAAATAAAAAGTACTAAGATAAAATGCAAATAATAAATGTAAAATTTTTTAAAGTCGCTGCAAAGTGAATGTAAAATGACGATTTTCAGTGAATTGTAACCGAACGCGCAAAGGGTAAATTCACAATACGACATTGATAGAACAAAATTCAGGAACCGAATTATTGGCGAATTAAAACCGAATTGACACTATTAACATCAATACAATTAGGCTCGGAGTCATATTTTCAGCTAATTAAAGACAATTTAACATGGCACAATTAGGCATATGTACAAACAAAATGCAGATACATTTGGTACATAGGACAATATTATAACAAAATATTCTTAGTAGGTACCCTAGAGCACTGCATAAAATAATGATATACACGTAAATGTATTTTAAAAATGATGCTACCCTGAATATTCTTAAGCACTATCAAAGGTTAAAGCCCCACTGAGAATGCAAATCTGTACAAAGAAGAGGCAAAAACAAAGTCTGAAAAGATGCAAGCAGGGCCGGCCTTAGGCAATTAGGCGCCCTGTGCAAAAAGTCTTCACGGCGCCCCCCCCACCTCCCACCAAGTTGCCTGAATACAGTAACACACACAGGCACCGGGGACGTGTGTATCACGAGGCAAACAAGGCATCTGCCTTGGGCGCCACTTTGCAGGGGGCGGCAAAAAAAAGCATCCCTCCAAACCCCCAGGCAGATCCCTTGCTTGCCTCGCATCCTGGGGGGCTCAAGAGCTGACCGGCTGGCCACTTTTGAGCCCCCCCAAGGCTGGCAGCGGGCAGCGAAGGAGCATACTCACCTGAGCTCTTCCTGCTCAGCTTCCTCTGCGCCGCTTAATGAAGCCGGGAGCCAGAATATGACGTCAGTCCGGCTCCCGGCATCACTAAGCGCTGCTTACTCAGCCTGTGCGCCCCCTGCCTGCCTGCCCAGCAGCCACACTGGACTGCTGGTAAGAAATCCACTCCAGCTTTCCCAGGGAGGCTGGGTGGATTTAAAATAAATGTAAAAAATATTAGTTTGTGAGTGTTAGTGGAAATGTCTGTGTGTGTGTCTGTGAGTGTTTATTTTGAAGTGAATGTGTGTGTGTGTGTGTGTGTGTGTAAGTGTGTAATTGTGTGTGTCTGTAAGTGTGTAATTGTGTGTGTCTGTAAGTGAATGTGTGTGTGTCTGTGAGTGAATGTGTGTGTTGGTCAGTGAGTGTATATGTGTCAGTCAGTGAGTGTGTATGTGTCAGTCAGTGAGTGTGTATGTGTCGTCAGTGAGTGTGTATGTGTCGTCAGTCAGTGAGTGTGTAAGTCAGTGAGTGTGTGTGTCGGTCAGTGAGTGTGTGTCAGTCAGTGTGTATGTGTCGGTCAGTGGAGTCGTGCATCTTTCAGTGAGTGCTTGCGTCTGTCAGTGAGAGTGTGCATCTGTCAGTGTGTGTCCAAGTAATAGTGTATGTGTGTATGTCATTGTTTGTCAGTGTATATGAGAGTGTGTGTCTGTCAGTGAGTGTGCGTCTGTCAGTGAGTGAGCGTCTGTCAGTCAAAGTGCGGCCTTGACAGGAAGGGGTGGGGGAAATTTAAACTCGGTTACAGGCATGTACACACACACTCAGTTAAAGGCAGTCACACATACAGGCACAGGCACAAACAATGGCACAGCTACAGCGACACACACAGACAGACAGTCACATAGGCAGTCACACACACAGACAGACACACAGTAACACACACATAGACAGTTATACACACACAGGCAGGCAGTCACACAGATAGAAAGTCACACACACAGGCAGGCAGTCACACACAGACAGATAGTTACAGACAGACACACACAGGCAGGCAGTCACATACAGGCAGTCACACACACAGGCAGTCACACACACAGACAGACAGTCACACACACAGACAGTCACACACAGGCAGGCAGTCACACACAGAGACAGTCACACACAGAGACAGTCACACACACACACAGAGACAGACAGTCACACACACACACACACACACAAGGACAGGCAGTCACACAGACAGTCACACACACACACAGACAGTCACACGCACACAGGCAGGCAGTCACACAGACAGACAGTCACACACACACACAGACAGACAGTCACACAAACAGGCAAACAGTCACACACACACACTTACCTCTTTCCAGTGGATGCAGTTGGCTGATGGGGAAGCATCTTTCCCTCTTCCTGTACAGCAGGGGCTTCGGGAGGTATTAGCCCCGTCTCCGCCTCTCGATAAGCCCCGCCTCCGCCGCTCGGTAAACCCCGCCCCCTCTGCCGCGATTTTTTTTTTTTTTTTTAAATAGACCCGGGTGGAGAATAATTAATCCTCCAGCCAGGTACCTCTTTTAGCTCCCCTGCACTCCGGCCATGAGTGAGCTGTGTCGGCCACAGGGCGCCCCCTGTTCCATGGCGCCCTGTGCGGTCGCACAGCTCGCACACCCCTAAGGCCGGCCCTGGATGCAAGAAAACAAGAGGGGTAGGCCTAATAAATGGTTAGGAGTGGTAAAGTGACTATATAATATATATATATACAATTTAACCCAAAGGTAAATATATAACTATAATAAGAGCGACTAATGCCATTCTAGGGGACTTGCATCACACGGAAAGGAAAGATCAATGTAGACATTATAAATGAAAAACAATTATCAAACTAAAAGACTCACCATGCAGTGAGCACAGCATGGAGTACCAATAGGAACCAGTGCTACTCAAGTTTGTCATTAGGACCTTGAGGTGGCAGCATCTCCAGTCGGTACATCCACTGTACTTACTTTTGGGGCAGCAACCTTTCCCTTTTCCGCTCTGACTAATGTGGGTACCCTCTAAGTTCGCCAGCATTATAGTCAAACTTACTAAAGTTTCTAAACATTGGAGTATCTGACTCTGAGTTACGAATAGAAGTTTTGTGTCGTTTTTTTAGAGTATGGATAGTTTCACCAACATATCCAAGGCCACAGGGTTGATACACATAAGATTGTCATTCTTCTGGTCTACAAACATCAAGAAAATTCAAAGACGATGTACTAGAGCTGTACTAAAACTTAATGAACTGGTCAAGTTCCATAGAGGAATCATTCCAAAGAAGGGAGTAATCATTTTTGTAGCGACACTACGTCTGTTCCTTGATGGGAGAGACAGGACTAGTTACCTGTATAGCTGCTGTATCTTATTGGACCTTTTGTTATTGTGTTTTTTATTAGGATATGGTGCACTTTTTGGTTCTTCATCTGGCATTTAATTTTATGTACCAACAATAAAACACAATAACATTTTACTGGAAAACGTGGTATAAAATTAGTTTATCATATCTTTTTTTTAGCAGCACTGCAGAAGATTGCTAAACTCTAGTTACACAAACCCCACCCCACCCTATACAATATATGGATACATATATTTTATGAATGCAAAAATATACATGTATGGCTCATATTAACGTCTCATGCTAAATTCAAACCCAAGAAAAAGAGACCATATTGGCATCAGAACTGGTGATAAACACATATCACGGTATTCAATGTTTAGTGTTTCCTGTCTTGAGCATAAAGGCGGAGTGTATACAGTATCTCACAAAAGTGAGTACACCCCTCACATTTTTGTAAATATTTTATTATATTTTTTCATGTGACAACACTGAAGAAATTACACTCTACTACAATGTAAAGTAGTAAGTGTACAGCCTGTAAAACAGTGTAAATTTGCTGTCCCCTCAAAATAACTCAACACACAGGACACAGCCATTAATGTCTAAACCAATGGCAACAAAATAAATACACCCCTAAGAGGAAATGTCCAAATTGGGCCCAAAGTGTCAATATTTTGTGTGGCCACCATTATTTTCAGGCACTGCCTTAACCCTCAAGGGCATTGAGGTTACCAGAGCTTCACAGGTTGCCAGTGGAGTCCTCTTTTACTCCTCCATGATGACATCACGGAGCTGGTGGATGTTAGAAACCTTGCACTCCCCCACCTTCCGTTTGAGGATGCCCCACATGTTCAATACGGTTTAGGTCTGTAGACATGCTTGGCCAGTCCATCACCTTTACCTTCAGCTTCTTTAGCAAGGCAGTGGTCGTCTTAAAGGTGTGTTTGGGGTCGCTGTCATGTTGGAATACTGCCCTGCGGCACAATCTCTAAAGGAAGGGGATCATGCTCTGCTTCAGTATGTCACAGTACATCTTGGCATTCAAAAAGGTGACAAAAGGTCCCCCCCTTAATTGTTATTTAGGGCCCACACGCCCCGCTCAGGGGTGGGAGCCGGGGGGGACAATAGGTCTCCCCCCCCAGATTTTCATATAGGGCCCCCACCTGCCACACAGGGGTGGAGGCTGGGGGGGAGGACAATAGGTTCCCCCTTTATTGTTATTTAGGACCCCCACCCGCCGCTCTGGGGTAGGGGTCGGAGGGGAACAATATGTTTCCCCCCTTATTGTTACTTAGGGCTCCCACCTCATGGCTGAGAGCCAGGGGAGGCAATAGGTCCCCCGTTCAGTTTAATAGCCCCCACTCGCGCTGCACGGGTGGGGGCTCAGGAGGGGGGACACTAGGGGTTGTTTTTTCTTTTTCTTTTTTTAACAGTGAACACTGGCTGCTCACTGTTTACTAGACATGCCCCTACTCACGGTAATCTTTACTTAGTATTAGTAAATTTGGCTGAAAGATGCAGCCACGGTACGAATAGGATCGGAGTTTCATTCATTCAAATCAAACTCCGATCCGAACAAAGTCCAGAATTGTGTCCTAACACGAATGGAGAAACTGTTCTCATTCTGTTAGAATGAAATTCGGTAGTTTGTCTAAGTGACAGGACGTTCGGGAATACTGACAGGAAGCATCGCAAGATCACAGATCAAAGGTGAGAATTGTGGGAAAATTGCTTTGATCACCGGAAACAAAGCACACTCTGCTCCTCCGCTGTTCAAAGCTGGTCAAGCGTAGGAAACCTCCATAAGACAAAGTAGTCCCTACTTTGTCATCTGTTATAAAGAAAACTAGAGCAGACAGGAAGAAATGAAGAACAGATCCTGACAGAGTGAGAAAAGAGGAATTGATTAAAGAAAGGTGATGATGAGTCTAATCTTAGTGGATACTTAGCTAGCAAAACTTGAATACCAAGTTGTCCATTTTTAATATTATCTAGGCAATAATAGTTGGTTGAAATAGATAATGTCGTTATATATCGACAGGGTTATTTACTGAAGTGAGAATTTAAAGTTAATTCAATGTGAATTTAAAATTTAAAATTTTAATCTGAGTAGCTAAATTGAAAGCCTGTGGCAAATGTAACCAGTTCTTGGAGGGGCCTGTTTGCCAGCATCCTACCCTGTGACTATGGGTCCTGTAATATACTTTGTTTAAAAACACTGTTTGTGCCCTTGTGGACTTATACCAGGAACTGTTCTAACTTTCAAAGTGGCACTTCGAACCCCCAAACTCCCGAAGCCATTTGAAGTGCCATTCGACCACGAGGTGGCGGCCATCTTGTTCACATGGACCAAAACCGCAAATAAACTTCACGGGGACTTAGCCGCGAATGCCCTGGAACTATTTTCGGCATGAAAACCTCATGGTTCCCGGTCGGTCCTCCAATACACACAAGCTTACTGACACACACAAACAAGATCACAAGCTCACAGAGCTTGCTACACACAAGCTCACTGACACACACAAGCTTACTGACACACACAAGCTTACTGACACACACAAGCTTACTGACACAGAAACAAGCACGCTACACAAACACAAGCTCATTAAACACAAGCTCACTGACACACACAAAAGCTCACTGACAAACACATAAACTCATTAAATACAAACTTACTACACACACAAGCTCACTAAACACACACACAAGCTCAGTGACACACACAAAAGCTCATTGACACACACAAGCTCACTGACACACATACACACAAGCTCACAAACACACACACAAGCTCACTGACACACACACTAGCTCATTAAATACAAGCTTACTACACACACACACAAGCTCACTAAACACACACACAAGCTCACTGACACACACACACACAAACTCACTGAAACACATACAAGCTCACTAGTACACAAGATCACACTGTCACTCACCTTTTGCATGGAACTCAGTTTATGGGGAGACCAATGGGGAGACCAATTAAAAGAGAAATTCACTAATCAACTAGAAATTACTAGAGCATAAACAAACTCCTTAGCAGTATCTTGCGTAAGAAACGGGTGGACAATGTTTTTAAGCTAGAATCTTCAGGATATAGCAACAAACTGGAGATGAGATATAAAGAGGAGGTACAACTAGGAATCCCAGGGCATTGGTGCAAGAATCAAAGAAGGTCCCCATTATCACCTCTCCTTGCACCCCTTATGCAATAAACCTGAGTGATATGTGTGTGGTTGCTGAGTGTGTCAGTTCCCCCTCCAGGCACAGTATATTTTGGCAGAGTAAGCACTTGCTGTCTGGTTAAAAAGGTACCTACTCTTCCTTACCGCATTGCTACCTGTAACCTGCATCGTGGGGAACCATAAGAAGGCCAGCCAAGTAGCTCTTTGGGGCCCGGTCATACTTGCATCCTTAGCGACCACTGTTGTTTCAACAATGTTCACCACATTCTAAGAGATTCCTAGTACCTGCATATCCAAAGATGGACACATAAACAGAGCAAAATGTTTACCATAGAAAAATAGATTGCTATCAAAATGTGAATAAAAACAAAATACATATTTAATGACTGACTCACTAACAGGTCCACAATGATGGGACACATTCTATCTGCCACAGAAACAGAATGGCATATTTGAATAAAACAGATTGGTTGGTCAGTTGCAAAACCTCCAATGCTAATACCCACCTCAACATCAACCACTGCACAACCCACTTCAACTGCAACACCAGTTGCTCACTGTAATTATATTCTAGACAACATGAGGTGAAAGACTAAAACAGGCCAGCTTTCTCCCCATGTAATTTTTGCAGATTATGTCTGTGTGTTAAACTAAAAGAACTGCCTGTGTCTTCTTAGGAAGTCATTCTTTTTATGTTTTATGTTTTTGGTATATCATAACGCTGCTATGTAAATCAGAGATGTGTAATTATCTGGTGATTTTATTATTACACACAGTACATTTTCGGGTTGTATGGAACACAATCTTACATTATCTTTGACATGTCTTCATTTTTATTCCTCTGCTGGGTTTCCGCAATAGCTTTAATAAAGGTCTGAATACTAAACCCCAACCATGCAATATAGATCAGAGGAGTAATGAAATAAAAAGGAGAGATATATCACCAGTTCTTACAGATGGCTAGGTTTAAAGGAACCTTGAAGAGGATGAAATAAATCTTCAAACATGCACACTGAGTCAGAATTCTCACCAGTCTCATAAATATCAAGATATACAGTATCAGTATATAGCAAATCAAAGTCAGGATTATGAATAGCAGCTGAAATAAGGACATGCTTAATATCGAATTGGAACAAATATAGTAAATCTGTTGCACTCTATGGATTTAGAAAACAACAACAACAAATAGAGGAAACGGATGGATTATCTTATAGAGATAAACCCTTTTAAGGATAGTGATATGCAAAAGAGTCAAGCCACTTGCAGAACCCAAGAGAATGAAATACTCATGCTTAGCTAAGAGGCCTGCGTGAGTCAGCACACCTCTAACATTTAAGTCTTGTTGAGAAAGTGGCAGAAAATATGCACAGGAAAAATTTAAGTCGTGGAAAATGAATTACTTCAAAAGTCAAAAACTATTTTTTGAATGACAAGTGAAATCTCTCATATTATCCATTATATATATATATATATATATATAGCCACTTAGACATACTAACCTCAGGAGTGAATCAGTGTATATACTGACCCAGTAGCCAAGATCCAATAGGTGTGCCAGCTTCGGAGACCTTGCTCTGGGATGACTGTCTGAGGATGATAGCAACATAAGTATCTCCAGGAAAGCCAACAAGCACAATGATTACTTTTTTCGCATCACAGATTATTTACCAGCGGATTGTATGGAATCACTAGCAGTATTTGAAGAGGTTCTTCTCATCCTGTGGAAACAATGGCTAAACATGAGCAGTTCTACTCCCTGAAGCTATTATTCCCAGTAATCCATTAGTATAGAAGTTTGCCATAAGCCAATGCCAATTCTGCTGTGTGCAGAGATAATTAATGAATCTAGGATCAGTTTTCTTAACTGGATCCTGGAGAATGTGAGCTGTTATGTTGTAACGTTTGATGTCTGAAAGGATCCAGATCCTAGGAATCCTAGAACACAAATCCACCATGGCAGACCTGTAAGACTAGTGGGAGAAATACTAATAGGCTCATTTCCATCCTTGATATTAGTGGAGAATGATGGGGGCAAGAACCTCACACAAATAGACACAAAATAAAAAGTGAGAAGCAATACTCACTGGAAAAATAATAACATTTATTATAAAACGTTAAAGGACCAAACTAATTTTCCTGGCACTATAGTGCTCTGAAGGTGCCCCCACCCTCAGGGTCCCCCTCCTGCCTGAAGTTGGAGGAAGGGGTTAAATCACTTGCCTGGGACTCTCCTCCTCCTTCGGTCGTCATCGGCTGAATGCGCATGCCGCACACGCATTTAGTCAGTCCATAGGAAAGCATTCTCAATGCTTTCCTATGGACGCTGTTGTCTTCTCACTGTGAAAATCACAATGAGAAGCACGGAAGCACCTCTAGCGGTTGTCAATGAGACAGCCACTAGAGGCTGGATTAACCCTTAAGTAAACATAGCGGTTTCTCTGAAACTGCTTTGTTTACAGCAGGCAGGGTTAAACCTAGATGGACCTGGCACCCAGACCACTTCATTAAGCTGAAGTGGTCTGGGTGTCTTTAGTGGTCCTTTAAGTTATAAAAATGTAACAAATGGAACAAATATCTGGTGTCTGAGCAGATCCACGCTTGAGTCTCAGAAATCCACCACCATGCTTTTTTCGATATCACAAACTTCTTCAAGGGTGTATCATGTTGCTGTCCCAACCCTCATGTTAAACCCAACAAACTGGATAAGGGAATAACAATCCTAAAGCTCCCTAAACATTAACAACCCAAAAATAAAAATAATAAAAATAAAGTATAAATCAATATACCCATCCTAACACCTCATATAAATAGATTAGATTAGAATAGATATTACATAAAAAGAATATATAAATAATTACTGCAAACATTAATTTTTTATATAGATATAATCACAGACTTCCCGATGCAACTAAATGCCTTTACATGTCAAGTGCTCAGGGCAATTGCTACCTTTTCAGTTTATCTCCTGTGAGTTAAGCAACCAGGAAGTATTAGGACAAATTGTCTGATTGACAGCCAGGGGGGTGTAACAAAGTTAATTTATAAATGTGCCAATTTCTATTGAAATCTATACGTTTTGTAGAATGGAAAAAAAAGGGGATACATTCTTCACATATAAATATATTCAGCAATCTAAAGTGCTTTAGGTTTTTAGAGTATTCATTTAATCAGCTTGTATGTGTGACAGTATATCAAAAACACAATCTTTCATTCATAAGGTGGATAATAATATTTTGTATTAATATAAAGTGTAATAGTTGAATGGGTCGATTCTTTTAAACGTGTCCTAATAATACTTATGCACTTTGTAGTCTTGAAAATGGTATGCATACCTTTGTCACTGGTAGTTATATGTTGACTTCTATGCCTGGTCTAAGAAGGCTACAGATATTTATACAAAATATGGATGAAGCTAAAATACATATGTGATTTCCCTATAGAGGTTTCCAAAAAAAATAGGATCTGAAAAAAAATTTAAACAAAGTGCATTAATCATGCTGTGTTTAAATGTATACATGTCACTACACGTATTTCACTGTTTATTCATGAATAATTCACATTCACAAGTTCTTGCTTCTATGATCTCTATGAATATCAGAAAAATTACCTAGATGTTTGATTAAGAAGCCCTTTTCTATTGCCGTTTTATTTATTTGTTAACCCTTTACAGAAAGACTGGGAGGATCATCAGTTTCAGAGTCTATATGTACCTTTCATATTGCCATATTTCAGACATTTAAACATGGAAGCAAAAATACAATTGCATTACCATTGAACTGTTACTATTTTATATAGATTTTGACTTTTTTTTTTTCAGATTTTAGTAGCTTTTCTTTCTCTTAAAACTCAGAGATTTATTGTTATTGCTCAACCTCATCAACCTGTTCCTGTAACATATTGAAATTGTTTAATTTATAGTTAAATTTCTTCCTTTATAATATTGTAAAGCGCTACGAACTAAGATGTCGATAGATAAATGCCGATAATAATAATAATTACATGCAAAGACACAGTAAATCTTTCTAGGTTTGAGTAAATTGGTGATAAGCTTTGTGTTCTGTAACATATACAACATCTAATATTTTAACATAATATTTTTTGTACTATCCAAAACAATCTAAAACTGTGATTGCCATTAACTGGAAAGCGATAAAAATGTCAGATAACATAATCACTAAACTGAAATCTAGTTGAATGTTTCCAGTTATGAAATGTTGAATATGTTTATGAGCAAATTACACGTCAGTTTAATAGCCTGAAAATTGTCAGAGAATGAAAGTTAAAAAATGTTGCTGTTAAGTAAATAGGCATGATTTAATCACATACATTATTTGTGGTTTTATAAGTTTATATATTTTTCAATTAGGTATGCCGGGAAATGGAAGATGCATTCATATCACTTTATCAAGAATTCCAGGTATTACAATCTGTATGTAAAAAGCAGGCCGAACTGATTGAGAAATTGCTATCAAAAAAAGGAATTGCAAGTGGTAAGTAAAATTAAGCCTTCAGCAGATATTGTCAATGAAACGTAACACTGAGAGTAAATATTTCTTGGAATTAATTCCTTCACTTTCAGAATCAAGTATACATTTTTTATTTCATATATATTGCAGAATCAAATTTATTCCATAATGCCTAAAATAATGCCTCTTATTTATTCTTTAAGAATGTTTATGGTTACCAGCATATAGAGGAACACATTTCTCTGCTAGAAGCCACTAATCATTCATTTAATCAGCTTGTATGTGTGGGGCACCACCCCTCTCCCATTCTGCGTAGGAGCACCGGGTGTCACGTGACTACCTGGCGCTCAGTCTGACACCGCACACCGCCAGAGATTGAGAGGCCCCCCTCTCTTGCTATGTCAGGTGAGAAACAGCAGGGAGTGGGGCCATCTATCAATAGGGAAGAGCAGATCTGGTGAGAGAAACAGCTGCCTGCCAGAGCAAGAGGAGGTAGATATGAATGGAAGGGTTAGGAGGGAGACATGGGTGGGAGAGATAGGAATGGAAGGAGGTAGAGAGATTTTAATTAGAATTGAAGGGTTAGGGAGGTAGATTTGGATGGAATGGGTAGGGAAAGAGATATGAAATGGATGGAGACATGGGGAAGAGATATGGAAGCGGGGAGAGATGTGGGGGGAGAGATATGGAAGGGAGGCAAAGATATGGAAGGGAGACAGATGTGGGGGAGAAATATGGAAGAGAGGGAGAGATGTGGGGGAGAAATATGGGAGAGAGAGAGAGATGTGGGGGAGAAATATGAAATGGATGGAGACATGGGGGAGAGATATGAAAGTGGGGAGAGATGTGGGGGGAGAGATTTGGAAGGGAGGCAAAGATATGGAAGGGAGACAGATGTGGGAGAGAAATATGGAAGAGAGGGAGAGATGTGGGGGAGAAATATGGAAGAGAGAGAGAGATGTGGGTGGAAAGATATGGAAGGGAGGGAAAGATGTGGGGGAGAGATATGGAAGGGAGGGAGAGATATGGAAGGGGAAGCGATATGGAAGGGAGGGAGAGATGTGGGGGAGAGATATGGAAGGGTTGGAGAGAAATGGAAGGGTGGGAGAGATGCGGGGGGAGAGATATGGAAGGGTGGGAGAGATATGGAAGGGAGGGAGAGATGTGGGGGGAGAGATATGGAAGGGAAGAAAAATGGATGGAAGGTGGGAGAGAGACATGGAAGCGAGGGGAACAGAGACATGGATGGAAGGGGGGAAAAAGAGACATGGATGGAAGGGGGTAGGCGCGTGCTGATTGGAGTGTGCAGCCACACATTTCTTTGCCTGGAGATAGCAGAGGAACTAGGGAGCGAGTGGAGTGGACAGTGCCGCTGCCTACCTGACTGAGACTGCAGTTTGCAGAGAGACTGAGGGAGCGAGTGGACACTTCAGACAGTGGTATTACCACTGAAATAGTAAGTAACTTGTGGGAGGCTGTAGAGAGTGTGAGTATAGGTGATGTAGCGAGTGTGTACATAGGGGCTGTAGTGTATGTGTGTATAGATGATGTAGTGTATGTAGGGGTTGTAAAATGTGTGTGTTTAGGGAAAGTAGTGTGTGTTTGCTTACAGGGGATCTAGAGTGTGTATGTCATTAATGTAGTGTGTGTAGGTGGTGCAGTGTGTGCCTATAGGTGATCTATTGTGTGCGTTGGGGATCTCGTGTGTGTGGAGAACCCAGAGCGTGTGTAGGAGATTAAGTGTGTGTAGAGGATGCAGAGTGTGTATAGGGATTCTAGTGTGTATGTGTAGAAGATTCATAGTTCTGTACGGCATCTAGGGTGTGTGTATAAGGGATGTTGTGTGTGTCTATAATGTAATGTGTGTAGGGGTGCACTGTGTGTAAGGGATGCACTGGGTGTAAGGGATGCACTGTGTGATGTGTGTAGTGTGTGTGTGTGTGTGTGTGTAAAGGATGCAGTGTGTGTGAAGGGTGCAGTGTGTGTGAGGAGTGCACTGTGTGTGTGAAGGGTGCACTGTGTGTGTGTGTGTGTGAAGGGTGCACTGTGTGTGTGTGTGTGTGTGTGTGAAGGGTGCACTGTGTGTGTGTGTGTGTGTGAAGGGTGCACTGTGTGGGAAGGGTGCACTGTGTGCTGTTTGGGGTTTAGTGTGTGTGTGTGAGGGGTGCACTGTGTGTTTGGGGTGCTCTCTGGCGTTTTGGGTGCTGTGTGGTGTTTGGGGTACAGTGTGTGTATGTGTGTGTATGTGTGTGGTGCACTGTGTGTTTGGGGTGCTCTGAGTTGTTTGGGGTGCTCTGTGGTGTTTGGGGTGTAGTGTGATGTTTGAGGTGTAGTGTGTGTATGTGAGGGTTGCAGCGTGGTGTGAGGGGTACAGTGTGGTGTTTGCGATGTAGTGTGTGTGCAAGGGATTCAGTGTGGTGTTTGGGGTGTGTTGTGATGTTTGGGGTGCTGTGGGGTAAAAATAAAAAACTTATATATGTGTATTTTTTTTAATTATTATATTTATGTCCACCCTCCCTTCTGACCTTTGCCTGGGAGGGTGGACCTTGTTGCCAGCCCTGGTGGTCCAGTAGGAAATCCCTGGTGGTCCGGTGAGGAGTGAACTCTACCCTGCAGTTCCTGGGGTAGAGATCACTCTCGCGAAATCGGAGCGTTGCCCCGGGCCCTCTCTCCCTCCCTCCCCCGGACGCATCTCAGTGCCTGTGGGGAGGTAATTTGACTCCCCACTGGCCCATGAAGGCACACAGTAGTGTCGGCGCTCTGATAGCGCTGGTTCTGCATGTACCGGCAGGGGAGAAACACTGATCTCCCCTGTTGGCCTCGGCCCATGGCCATTGCGGCCCACCAGGCATTTGCCCGGTATGCCCGATGGCCAGTCCGGGCCTGATGATGACTGCCAGGTGCAAAGGACAAACCTTTTGGTGACAAGTCACTAAGATGGAGGCACCAAGTTGTAAATTTCTACATGAATTGTATTTTTCACAAAAATCCCTGGAAGTGACAGTTTTCTTTTAATTCTTTGTTATATTCTTCACTCCTTGTAGATATCTGGTTCTACTTTATGTAATATCAGTTTTGTACTCTGAAATTTCTTCCTACAGAAATGCCTTTTTCTAAGCCAGTCCAGTGCAGTGATGTCGGAGACCCAGCTTGCACAGAGAGTCCTTTTTTCCGGCTACATGGAATTGAAAATCCCTATGTAGAGTCTTCAAAACCAAAAACTGATGAGATTCCTAATACTTCAAAAGAGCCTGAAGAACATCCCAGCGTCTTGTTAGATTTTGATGTACACTTCCCTCCAAACACAGAACAGTACAGTTTCCTAGCCAGCGAAAATGAACAAGTAGAATTTGCTGTAGGCTCTTCCAAATCACAACACAACACTGATAAAAGGAGCAGCACCACCGACCTTGAACTATTTATCAAAAACTACACACCACAATTTCAGAATGCAAATGGAGGTGGAGACAAACTAATTGGTAATTCTGTAGCAGGTGGTCTTGACTTTTTAATTCCACCAAAAGCAGATCAGACTTTCAATCTCTCAAACTTCTATGAAGATCTATGTTACCTCCAGTCAAAGGATATTTCATTTGGAGAATGCTCAGGACCAGAGAATAAGCATCCAATTGGAATTAGAGGACCAGCTCAGGTATGGATACATTTATTGTTCTTCTGTAAATTATCCTGAATGTAATGGTTATGTTTCTCCTTCTGTAGTAAGTTGTGATTACACATCAATACATAGGACCAAAATAAAATGTATTTTGTGTTTCTCTACATAATAAATACATGTCTAAAGCAAAATATATATGGAGCATTCATAGAATACTGGAGGCTCTATGACAAAGGATAACAAATAACCTGAATGAATCCGTGAATGGAGAGAGAGCGTCTAATACATGTAGAATCACATATTGCCCATAGAAGAGGTAAGGGCACTAGGATGTGAAATAAATAAATAGTAATACAAAATAAATGAGAGATGAGAGTGAGAGATAGAGAACTGCAAATACTTCCCCCAACGTGGCACACTCTCTGCTTTATCCCCCTCACTAAAATATTCAATCTCTAAGCACGCAACCATAACCCCAATTATAAAAATGCCAAACCTTGACCATAACTCCCTAACAAACTACTGCCCTATCTCGCTACTACAGTTTGCCTCCAAGATCCTCAAGAGAGTTGTGTTCGCTAGATTAACAGACTTTAATTCACCTCTCTGCTCAACCCGCTTCAGTCTGAATTTACACGCTCGTCACTCTGTTAAAACTGCCCCAAGAAAAGTGATTTAATTGCTGCTAAATCCAGTGGTCGCTTCTTGGTAAACTCATCAGCTCTTTTGACTTCCAAAATCATTTCTGCCTATGACATGCAAATCTGTTTGTCCTCTCCTTTTCTCTTGTTGTCCCTCTGATTCGTGTCTCTGACTGCATTTCCAACTGGATGACTGGTCCTTTTCCTAAACTTAACCTGTCCGAAACAGAGCTTCTCAACTTTCCTCGCTCATGTGTTGCTATTCCCTCCAAGTCAATGGCACTACCATCATATCTACCTCACAGGCTCGCTGCCTATGTGTTCTCTTTGACTCCAATCTCTCTTTCACCCCTCAAGTCCAGTCACTTGCCAAATCCTGCCACTTTATATCTCAAAAACATAGCCAGCATCTGCTGCTATCTATACGCTCTGCATCTGCTGCTATCATACTCGCACCTCTGATGCCCGCATTCAGGATTTCTCTCAGGCTGCAATGTTCACTCCCTTCTCTGCTCTCACCTCTCACCACCTCACTCACCACCCAGTGTAAGTTCCTTCAAAAGATCATTAAATACTAATTTCTTTAGGAAAGCATATCAAATAAACTGTCACTAGCTTCCCTTCCACGCATCTTGGTAACCCATCCTGCTTCCTCTCCTACAACTGTGTTATCCAATAAACTAAACCTTCTCTGTAAACCATTCCAGTAACATACTTTTTTCAAGTACATGAAATACATCCTACCCTTACCTCTTGTGACACCTTACCCCACTCCCTCTAGTATGGAAGCTCATTTTAACATGGCTCTCGACACCCTCTGTTCCTGTGCATTCAGCACATCTTGTTGCAATGACATGTCTGTAAGTTCACCAATTGTACAGCGCTACGGAATTTGTTGGCGCTTCACAAATAATAATAATAATAATAATAATGTAAAATAAATACAAACAGTTAAAGTGGCAGAGAAATAGGGATGTTTGTAGGGGAGTGGAGTCTGGTTTTAGACAATCATCCTTATAGCAGTTTTTGTATAAAAACATTTACTGGTAATTAATGAAATGGAAAAAATCTAAAGTAATATTAGGGAAGTACCCCCATCTATGTGCAGCCTGCCTTTTGGTGTATTTATTCCAGGTTCTTTTTTGTGTTTTTTTGTGACTTCCTATTTATCTTTTATATCTTAGCATTATGCTTGAAAGAGATTTTTAATGTTCATAAATAGGAAAGATTGTTCAGTTTTACCGTTTATTAGGTGTCAGCATTATTTGCAGGCTGCACAGTTTGAATACCTATATATATATATATATATATAATTAGATGCCAAAATACCAGAGTATTGCAGTATGCAATGATACATTTTTTATTGGTATCATGTATATATATAATGATACAATTAAAACAATTGAATCAGACTTTAAACTAATAGTGCTATTACAAACAACAACAACAAAAAAGACAGAAATAAGGCATTAGATACAGTTTAATCTGTATTTGACAGTTAATGGTTTTGATACTGAAGACAGATTTTACAAAGGATTTGTAAAGGATTTCTATCAGTTTTTATGTAATTATTTAGAGTACATTAAGTGAATACACTTGTGCCGCTTAATGTGTAAAAAAAAAAAAAAAGGGTATGGTAATTGTAACGGAGCTCCCAGTACCTCGACTGGGTACCTCCACCAAAGGACCGCTTCCTAGCTGGAACAGGGACAAACCGCAGCACTTCTGCCCACAGTCGCCGTGGCTTTACTGGGATCCTGGAACCATTCCCTCTTCGAGTCGAATGGGGCATTCATCTACACAGCCCCAGGCACTGGACGACACTCAGTCCTGGGAGCTCTGGTCCTTACAATGACTTTCCCCTTTGAATCCTCCTCACTGGAACAGGGATTAAAGAATAGCCTTTTCCTCTCACAGTAACCAGACGACACATAGTTCTGGGAGTACAAGCTGGAATGTTTTAATCTGGCCAGATGGCCTGCTTTTATACAATTTCAGACACAGTTAAGCACGCCCCTGACACTCCCACACAAACAGGATAATCCCTCTGCTGGACCTATGAGGGGACTAGTTACAAGTTACAAACTCTTCCTCTGTGCCTGAGAGATAATTGAGTCAGGAACTAAACTAACTCAATTATCTCCAGGCACAGAAAAACATACAAATTACAAAACCCCAAAAATATCTTTAAAACAAATAAAACCCCCCACAAAAGTTCCATCCCCTGAAAGCCCCGATCAGGGTGACCAACATATCCAAAAATCACCCAGTGATTAACCCGGTTAAAAATGTTCATGGAAGTCATAATTTTGACCGACCGTGCACATGGTCCTATGCCCACAACAGTTCCATGAAATCAGTGCAAACGGTCGGTCAAGTTCGGTAGTCTTTTACAGGTTTTCCTGCAAGGCCCATAGTCTGTGGGCAGGAGGCTGGCAAGCAGGCTCCTCCAGGAGCTCGGGGCAAACTGACGTGGGAAGGGGAGTTTGTCACAGTAATGGATGTGAAAAGGTGACTGTGTCTTTTTAAAAAAAAGTTTTTTAGTAACAAATTAAAGGGACACTGTAGGCGCCCAGACCACTTCAGTTCATTGAAGTGCTCTAGGTGCAGTGTCCCTTTTGCACTTAGTGCTGCAATGTAAAACATTGTAGTTCCAGAGAATCTGCAATGTTTACATTGCAGCACTAAGTCTGCTTCCAGTGGATGTCTACTAGACAGCCACTAGAGGGCTTTCTGAATTGAAACAGACCTTTGGTCTGTTATTTGATGCTGGACGTCCTCACATTCTGCATGAGGACACCCAGCGTCAAATTTTTTTCCCCATAGGAAAGCATTGATTCAATGCTATGCTTTGGGGAGGTCTAATCCGTGCATTTGCCATGCATGCGCATTAGCGCCAGCTTGTCGCGGGATGTTAGACATCGACGCTGAGATCAGGTAAATAAATAAAATGTTTTTATCCCTTTATTTACCAGGTTGGGGGGGGGGCGCGAGGGAGGTGGCAGACAGTGGGAGCTATAGTGCCAGGAATACAGCTTTGTATTCCTGGCACCATAGTATCCCTTTAAATGTAGTCTGGACTTCAGAGAGCATATTCACCATCCTATCAGTAAATGTAGTGAGTTGAACAATGACATACATGGCATAATAGCAACATTTTACATAAATTTACCATAGACGGAGATGATATTCCTACTTTACTACTTTGAATTTAATATTGAGTCATTTTTTGACTCGGTTCAAATCATTATATAGTGAATATTAACAATTACAGGTTTAGTCACTACAGTGAGAATCTGATATTTTGGCATTAAATTTGATATTCAATTTGAATTCTCACTTTAGTGAATAACTCTGGTAGTTTCTAGTCGGTGATGAAGAAACTGTGAAGTTATAGCACTGTAAAATAAAAATGGGTGGTGCACTGAATTATTTATCACACATTTTAGCCAATCGTGAAAACAGACATAGACACTTTTCCTCTTTCCTATTGATTTTAGGAACAAATATTATATATTGTTTCCCTCATATTGTCTATTGAATTTAGGAGACCAAATGTTGAAAGAGGTTTTTTTCTAAAAAACCTTAAATTAAGAAATATTTTGTTGAAGCAATTAGCAAAAATGACTAGATGGAAACTCTAATTTCTGGTGACTTCTGGTGACACATGGACAAATTAATTCCACGCAGATCATTCTTGACAGAAATAGGCCAAGTAAATGTGATTTGCAAAGTACATAAATACTTAGCCTCTTAAGCTGCACTTCAGCAATCCACTTTCTATCAATTATCTCCATACCTCTCATTCTCTTTTCAAAGAATTGTGTTTTGGCCCTCTATCAGTACGTCCTTTCTGTAGAGTGTTTTAAAAGTTTTAACTTTCATTACTGAGATTCACTAATGGTGTTCTTGATCCTCGAAATTTCACATTAAACTCTAACCCACCTAGTTCTTGGAAAACATCAATACTATAGAAATAATAACAACTGTTCTACAGCATATTCAAGGATTAAGTATTCTTTCAAGATAGCGCTGCCTGAAGACCCAAAATATATTTCATCATGTTTTGTCAGTTACATGACCTACACCGCTCACATAATTAGAGCAAAACTAGGGAGCTATTTTTTCACATATCCCTACATCCTCAACTTCAAACATTTGTGTAATGCTGTATGCTAGAATGGTAATCAATTTTCACATAATATATGTCTTGGCCATGAAAGAAGGAGCAATATATACTATTAGTGTGGCTGGTATAGAGATAAAGAAATAAAGAACCCAAAGAAAGGTCAGTATAGTCAAGAAACAAGCCAATGTCAGGAGAATGGAAAATAACTATGCCCCTAATACAAGTCATGGTCAAATTAGCCAGAAATGTTAATATGCAAGAGCAAGCTAATGGAGAAATAGAGTGTGCAAAATCTAGAGGCCCACCAAAAGTGAACTCTTTGATCAGGACCCTGAAGACAGATTTTACAAAGAGTGGTCTTCTCCACCCAAGATAACGTGTCTGGATCTCTGCAGTGATACATACAAACATCATGAACTCATTTGCACCTTAAGGATGGAGGTAATCGTCCACAATCTTAACCAAAACAAAACCTTGAATTTGAGCTATAGGTTTCTTCCACTGTAATTTAACGCCTTAGGGACCAGACTGTTTTTCAATTTTCTTACCGTTAAAGACCAGGGCTCTTTTTACATTTCTGCGGTGTTTGTGTTTAGCTGTAATTTTCCTCTTACTCATTTACTGTACCCACACATATTATATACCGTTTTTCTCGCCATTAAATGGTCTTTTTAACGATATCATTATTTTCATCATATGATATAATTTACTATAACATTTGTTATAAAATATGATGAAAAATGTTTAAAATACATACTTTTTGGAACTTTGACTCCCCAAATCTGTTATGCATCTACAACTGCCAAAAAACACCCGTGGTAAATAGTTTCTGAATTTTGTCCTGAGTTTAGAAATACCCAATGTTAACATGTTCTTAGTTTTTTTTGGAAAGTTATATGGCTATAAGTACAAGTGGCACTTTGCCATTTCCAAACCATTTTTTTTTTTCAAAATTAACGCAAGTTACATTGTAACACTGATATCTGTCAGGAATCCCTGAATTACCCTTCACATGTATATAGTTTTTTAAAAGAAGACAACCTAAGGTATTAAACTTGGGGTATTTTGACTCTTTTCGTGCTCTTTTTATGCAACCATTTTACCACCAATCTATGCCAAATAAAAAAAATAATAATAATTGGTGATTTTTGTGACACACATAGCAATTTACAAATGTCATGTACTGAGAACTTTAAGGGTTACTGCCAAAGAACACCCCAATATGTGTTCAGCAACATCTCCTGAGTACAGTGATACCACCCATGCATAGGTGTGTCGGGTTCTCTGGGGGCTAAAAGACCTTATTTGGAGGGTGCGCATTCCAGTTTTTCAATTTGGAATTTTCACAGCTGTCATCAGGCACCAATGTCCCATTTGGGACATTTTTGAAGCTGGCCAATGTAATTTACCCCATCAAACCATATATTTTTGACAAGTAGACACCCTAGGGTATTTCAAATGGTGGTATTTTAACACTTTCCATGCAATAATTCTACCACCAGCCTCAGGGCCGTCTTTAATATTGACCGGACACTGGGCAACCATTTGCTTGGGGGCCCCTGGACTCTGCCCCCTGCCAGACATACTAACACACATACACAGAGACATACACTGACAGACATACTGACACACACGCTGACACACACACTGACAGACACATATTGACAGACACATATTGACAGACATATTGACACACACACAGAAACATACACTACAGACATACTGACATATGCAGACACATATACTGACACACATACACAAAGACATACAATGACAGACATACTGACACACATACAGACACATACAATAACAGACATACTGACATACACAGACAAATACAATAACAGACATACTGACATACACAGACAGACATACTGACACAAGCATAGACACATACACTAACAGACATACTGACATAAACATACACTGACAGACATACTGACAAACATACACTGAAAGACATACTGACACAAACACAGACAGACATACTGACATAAACATACACTGACATACATACTGACAAACACATACACTGACAGACATACTGACATAAACATACACTGACATACATACTGACACAAACACATACACTGACAGACATACTGACATAAACATACACTGACAGACATACTGACAAACATACACTGACAGACATACTGACAAACATACACTGAAAGACATACTGACACAAACACAGACAGACATACTGACATAAACATACACTGACATACATACTGACACAAACACATACACTGACAGACATACTGACATAAACATACACTGACAGACATACTGACAAACATACACTGACAGACATACTGACACAAACACAGACACAGACAGACATACTGACATAAATTTACACTTTTAAACCCACCCACAAGTTTCCTACCTTGGAAGGTGGTTCCCCAGGTGTCCAGACTGAAGGTTATTGGGATCTGCCTCTCCTGGCAAGGGTCCCTCCTTCGTCTCCCGCGCGGCTCCTCTCCTTAGTGGGAGGAAGTGACTCGCAGCCGTCACTGCCTCCCAGCGCTGCCGAAAAGCAAAGGGCCCGGTCGCGCTGTTAAAGTGCTACAGTGTGTGACCGGGCCCCTGCTTACAATACCCACCCGGTGGCCTGCTTAATGTGGGGGCCGGCGGCCCCGTGGGAGAAACAATTGTTGAGGGCAGCGGGGCCCACGGGGAAGCTGCCTTGGGCCCCCCAAGAGTAACTGGGCCCGGGGCAGCTGCCCCGTTTGCCCCGTGTTAAAGACGGCCCTGACCAGCCTTTGTCAAACTTTTGGGTAGTCATTTGTTTGTGTTATCTTTCATACACATTCTACTTTAGGAATGGATTCTCAGCTCCTGTTAGGTGTTACTGCCAAAGAACACCCCAATATGTGTTCAGCAACATTTCCTGAGTGCAGTGATACCACCCATGTACAGGTGTGTTGGCCTCTCTGGGGGCTAAAAGACCTTATTTGGAGGGTGTGCATTCCAGTTTTCCAACTTGGAATTTTCTCAGCTGGTCATCGTGCAACCATGTCCTATTTGGAACATTTTGTAAGCTGGCCAATGTAATTTACCCCCATCAAACCATATATTTGTGAAAGGTAGACATCCTAGGTTATTTTAAATGGTGGTATTCTAACATTTTCCATGCACTAACTCTACCACCAGTCTTTGTCAAACTTGGGTAGTCGTTTTTTTTATTTTATTTTTCACACACATTCTACTTTAGGCATGGATTCTCAGTTCCTGTTATGTGTTACTGACAAAATACCCCAATATGTTTTCAGCAACATCTAGAATCAAGTTCTACTTCCTCTGGATTAACCGCTTAAGTTCTCTTGCTGAGAAAGAATGTTATATTTATTTTTGGATTAACCATTAAGTAAGTAAATTCTTCTCTTAAATTGTTTCTTAAAGTGACATACCATATTATTTAGGATTCTGCAATTGTGTTCCAAAGCCTTTAGTTTTTAAGGATTATACAAACAAACTGGTTTCATCCATTGACCATTTAGTTTGTTTTGTGATTCATCCATATAGCATATCGGAGTTTAGAATTTCGGTTGAATCGTCGATCGCCGATCTGTGCGATTCTGGTCTAGTACCTTCCTGCTATATGTAGTACTATCCGTACGGTATCTGCTTATCTCAAGAAACGATTTCTTTCTGTATCTAATCTGTATGCTAGCTAACAATAGCGCACTGTAGAGGTTATGGTTCAGGAATGCCCTGGTGTTCCCACAAATGTAAGTATCTGTGGCCCGCTGGAAGACCTCCTTAGTTACCATTCTTTTCAGCACTGAGAGCTAGAAGCTCTCTATTTTTTTTAAACTGTACAATAAGTTATTCTTATGATCATCCTGATATTATAGCATTGTCAAAGGATACACACATATCCTTATCACGCGGTGAAAATTGACTTTCAAAATAGGAAAGTCATAAAATCGGGGAGCACCTTAAAGGAACATCACTTGACATTTTTTTTTTTTTTAAACCAGTAAGCACCAGTAAACACTTTTAAACAAATATACAAACAAAAAAAATAAATCTTTAAAAGTATGGAATAAACATTTTGAAACGTACTGTAAACTTGGTCAGGTAGCATTGTTGGGCATGCGTTTTAAGCTAGGGAATTGTATTCAGCAACCCCGTTCTCTCTTACCATCCCACTAATCTAGTCCAGACCCATCCACTAATGATATAAACAATACATAATTGTGTAGCAGCAGCAAGCTCCTAATTCTGCACGAATCACACTGATCCACTATTAGGAGTTTGCAAGGTGAAGAGATCTTCTAACTGCATTTGTGTAATTCTCTCAGATATGCCCAAGCACCACAATTTGCACAATTCCCAAGGATAGGACACTGATTGGTTAGATAAGTGCTCTCCCTGGAATGGTTATTGAAAACGTAAGAAAGAAGAAGTAGGCAAATATGGAAAAAAATCATATTTACCTGTTTTTTTCCAACCTCTAGAGTGAGGCAACTGTCTCAATCAAAGCTAGAGATATTAAAGGAGACCGTTGTCTCAAAGTTATGCATTTCCCTTTAACAATCAGTAGACAAATTGATCTAGACCAATAAATCTTTTATATTATTATTGGTATTTCTATAGAACCAACTTATTCTGCAGCGCTCTAGGATATTATGGAAGGTGGAAATTTAACAATAAGATGGAGAACTACAAAATGATATAGGAACAGGTAGATGAGGATCCTGCTCAGACGAACTTACAGTCTAGAAGAGTGGAGTATAAGGACACAATAGGGAGTGTATCAAGGGTGAAAATAAACAAACAAGGTAGGAAGGTAACAGAACTGGAGGTGAGAGTGGAGTGTGGCTCTTTAGGAGAGAGCAAGAGACAGATTTGTGACATATAAGTTACTCTGTGAGGTAATTTCTAAACAGATGGGTTATGATGGATTTCTTAAATGACTGAAGACTAAAGGAGAGTCCAAAGGAAAGGAGCTGTCTGTGAAATGTCCTACAAGTGTGATTTAGCAATGAGGGTGCGAGAAATGGACAGGAGGTGGTCATCGGCAGAGGGGAGAGACTGAGAAGGGGTATACAGTGGCGTACATACCAGCCCCTGCGACCCGGTATGTACCTACTGGGCCAGCCTCTTCTCCTGGGGGGGCCCAGGAGCCGGCCACCCCAGGTCCCACCGAGGCTGGCCCTGCTGACACCCGGCGAGCGGGCTGTCTGGGTGGCCGGCGCGCGAGGGAGCACTTTCCCCTGTGTGCTTCCTCTTCCGCTCCCTCGCGCACCGCACTGATACCAGAGCCGGAAGATGAAGTCATCTTCCGGCTCCGGCTCCGGCATCCCTACGTGGCGCGCGAGGGAGCGGAAGAGGAAGCACTCAGGGGAAAGTGCTTCCTCGCGCGCCGGCCACCCAGACAGCCCACTCGCCCGCCCGCCCAGGAGCCCCAGGAGCCCAGCAGCACCACCACTGGACCCCAGGGAATCCCCCCAGCACTCCAAAAGGTAAGGAGGCTGGGGGGGATTCAATTTTAAAAAAAACATGTGTGTGTGTGAGTGTTAGTGTGTGTGTGAGTGTGTGTTAGTGTTAGTGTGTGTTAGTGTGTGTGTGTTAGTGTGTGTGTGTTAGTGTGCGTGTGTGTGTGAGTGTTAGTATGTGTGTTAGTGTGTGTTAGTGTTAGTGTGTGTGTTAGTGTTAGTGTGTGTTAGTGTTAGTGTGTATTAGTGTTAGTTGTAATGTGTGTTAGTGTTAGTGTGTGTTAGTGTTAGTGTGTATTAGTGTTAGTGTGTGTTAGTGTTAGTGTGTGTGTTAGTGTGTGTTAGTGCATGTGTTAGTGTGTGTGTTAGTGTGTTAGTGTTAGTGTATGTGTGTTAGTGTTAGTGTGTGTGTGTTAGTGTGAGTGTAAGTGTGTAAGTGTGTGTGTGTATGAGTGTTAGTGTGTGTGTGTAGTGTGTGTGTGTGTGTTAGTGTTAGTGTGTGTGTTAGTGTTAGTGTGTGTTGTGGTGTGTTTAGTGTTAGTTGTAATGTGTGTTAGTGTTAGTGTGTGTTAGTGTTAGTGTGTATTAGTGTTAGTGTGTGTGTGTGTGTTAGTGTGTGTGTTAGTGTGTGTTAGTGTATGTGTTAGTGTGTGTGTTAGTGTGTGTTAGTGTATGTGTGTTAGTGTTAGTGTGTGTGTGTTAGTGTGAGTGTTAGAGTGTGTGTGTGTGTGTGTAGTGTGTGTGTGTAAGTGTTAGTGTGGGTGTTAGTGTGTCTGTTATTGGGTGTGTCTGTTATTGGGTGTGTCTGTTACTGAGTGTGTGTTACTGAGTGTGTCTGATGTCTGTTAGTGAGTGTGTGTTTGTCAGTGAAAGTGTATGTTTTGTAAGTGAGTGTGTATGTATGTCTGTCGCTGAGTGTGTCTCTGTCAGTAAATGTGTGTGTCTGTTAGCTAGTGTGTATGTGTCTGTTCGTGAGAGTGTGTGTCTTCAGCATTTACCTTTCTCCAGCGCCGGACTTCCTTGGTGCTGGGGAGCCCTCCGCCTCTCAGCTCCGAATACACATGCGCGGCAAGAGGCGCGCGTGCGCATTTACACCGCCCATAGGAAAGCATTACTTTTTTTTTATTTTCACAGTGAGAATCGTGGAATCTCCTCTAGCGGCTGTCAATGAGACAGCCACCAGAGGCTGGATTAACCATCAGTGAAACATAGTCGTTTCTCTTAAACAGCTATGTTTTCAGCTGCAGGGTTAAAACTAGAGGGGCCTGGCACCCAGACCACTTCATTGAGCTGATGTGATCTGGGTGTCTGTAGTGATCTTTTAGGTGTGTGTGCAGCGTACCGCGGTCGTGGGGTCGCAGCCTTGCGACCAGGTGCCCGCTGCCATGTGTTGCGGCCCCGACCCGCGCCGAGTAAGTGCGGGGGTTGGGGGGGCCCACGGATCAATTTTTGCACCGGGGCCCCATGGGTCATGTGTACGCCACTGGGGGTATACCTATGAATCAGTGAATCAATGTAACAGAGACTAGATTTGTTAAGAGCTTTATAGGTAAGGGTTAGCATTTTGAATTGACACCTATAGGATACAGAAAGACAGTGTAAGCATCGGCAGAGAAGCGAGGTATGAGAGATTGGCCTGGCAGCAGCATTCATTACAGATTGTAGGGGACAAGTACAGCTTCTGGCGAGACCAGTTAAAAAACAATTACAGTAATACAAGTGAGAAATTATCAGAGCTTGAACAAGCTCGTTGGCAGCATCTTGCATAAAAAAGGGGCAGATGTGTGCAATGTTTTTAAGGTGGAATTGATAGGTTTTAGCAACATACTGAAGGCAGCAGAGAGGTAAGAAGAATTAGTATGGAGTAGTGGCCTTTGGATTTAGCTGTGATTAGATCATTGTAACTTTAATCAGAGCAGTCTCAATAGAGTGGAGGGGGCGGAGGCCAGATTGAAGAGGGTGAAGGAAAGAGTTGGAGTTGAGGAAACAAGCCAAGTGAGTAAAGACAAGTCGGAAGCTTTGAGGAAAAAGAAAGCAGAGATGTGGTACAAGACAAGGGGAGAACGCGCTTATAAGGTGAGAAGGGAAGAGATGGGATCAAGTAGACAAGTGGCAGGACGAGAGGAGAAGCGCAGCCACCTCCTGTACAGTAGCCGGTGAGAAGGCCCGAAGATAAGGTACGATCCAGGTGCGGTTGAGAGAGAAGAGCAAGGTGGGGAGAACTCTTTCCTTAACTGTTTAATCTAGTCAGTAAAGGTTAGTTTGGTGGTTGGCTTCAGCAGGGAGAAGGAGAGAGTTGAAGGTATATGCCACCAAATCATATGGCTGATCTGATATTATTTTGTGATTGGCTTGATGTACTTCCATTCAATCACAATAAAGCACCCTGAAATTATATATGATCTATGAGGGAGTTATGTTGTGTTTGTATGTAATCACTGTGATCAAAGCCTGTTTTGTAACAGTTTGGCAGAGAATGTCAAATCAACAAAAGGAAACGTTGCATAGATGGGAAATCTATAAATGTTCAGTAATACATACATGTAGAATATATCACTCCTTAACAGAACATAACAGATTTGACACTTCATTGCTTGTTTCAACAGATAATATAATAAAGGTTCAATCTCCTTTTCACTTCCCCTTCTGTGAGTGGCACAGTTTAAAAAGCATAACACAAATTTCTGCTTTAGCTTGCTTAAGTGCTTTATGTGTGAAAAGTGTTTCCTCTTTTTTCCATTTTACAAAAAGTACAGATTTCAATAGAAATTGGCACTTTATAAATTAACCTTGTTACACCAGAATTTCTTTCTTCCAGTCTAAATGGGTGAGCTCATGCCTTATGTATACTCCTGTTTATGAATAGATTTTAAGACAATGGTTTGTATTAGACATGTACAATTAGTATAGCTCCAAATGTAAATTCGAACGATTTTCGGCAATTCGGACATTCGGATGCTTTCGAATGTCCGAATTACTGAAGTGCTGCATTTCGAAAGTGCCGAACCAAACCGAATTGTCGAAGTGCCGAATTTTGGAAGTGCCGAAGTGCTTCGGATTTCTGATGGGTGCCAAAACAAGAGAGGGAGCGAAAATTACAGGAATGATGACAGGAATCTAACCCTACCCCTACGTTATGAAAGTGCCAAAGTCCCGAATTGCCGAAGTCCCGAATTTCGGAAATACCGAACCAAAGTCCCGAATTTCTGAAGTGCCAAACTGAAATGCCGATTTGCCAAAGTCCCAAATTGCTGATGTCCTGAATTGCCGAAGTATGGAATTTCGGAAGTGCCGAACCAAACCAAATCTTTTGCCCATGCACATATCTAGTTTGTATTGGCCCAGAATATATTTTAATAATGCTATTAAATCCTCCCTGAGGTGCTGTTTTTTTAAATCTTCCATTCCTCTTATTCATTTTGTAGCCTTTCTTTTAGTTTGGTCACTAACTTATTGTGTGGAACTGTATTGATTGCCTTGGCAAAATTCAAGTAGATCAAATCCACTGCAACACCCTGATCTATTCTTCTACTTCTGTTTTTGTAGAATGTAATAAAGTTAGCTTAACATGATCTATTTTTCATAAAAAAATATTTTTTTTTTGCTAGTAACATTGTTCTTCCCAATGAATTCCTGAACATCATTCCTTAATAACCCTTGAAATACTTTTACAGCCACAGAATGTCTATAATATCCAGACAAGGATTTTGATCCTTTTTTTGAATATAGGAATACCACATCTGCCATTTTCCAATCCTCCAGTACAATTCCTGAAATAATCCTGAAAGACTAAAAACTGTTTAGATTTGCATATTTTCATACTTAGCTCCTTAAATACTTGTGAGTAAATACCATTTGGTGATGGGGCTTTGTTTGCATTAGCTTTCGTTAGTCCTGCAACACTTTGTCTTGAAAAATCACTATTTTTCTGCTGGTTTTTTAAAGTAATTATTTGCATAACTTGTGGTATAGTATTCTCCTTGATGTATACTGAAGGGAAATAATTATTTAAAATTTCTGCCTATTCCTGATCTTCATTAACTAACACACCCTTCTCTGATTTCAGTGTGCCTACACTTTCACTTTTGCATTTTTTTAAATGGAGTGTACTTAAAGGACCACTCTAGGCACCCAGACCACTTCAGCTTAATGAAGTGGTCTGGGTGCCAGGTCCAGCTAGGGTTAACCCATTTTTTCATAAACATAGCAGTTTCAGAGAAACTGCTATGTTTGTAAATGGGTTAATCCAGCCCTCAAATCCTCTAGTGGCTGTCTCATGTGATTTTCACAGTGAGAGCATGCCAGCGTCCATAGGAAAGCATTGAGAATGCTTTCCTATGAGACCGGCTGAATGCGCGCGCAGCTCTTGCCGCGCGTGCGCATTCAGCCGACGGGGGCGGATCGGAGGAGGAGAGGAGGCAGAGAGTTCCCCGCCTAGCGCTGGAAAAAGGTAAGTTTTACCCCTTTTCCCCTTTCCAGAGCCCGGCGGGAGGGGGACCCTGAGGGTGGGGGCACCCTCAGGGCACTATAGTGCCAGGAAACCGAGTATGTTTTCCTGGCACTATAGTGGTCCTTTAACAAAACTTTGTGGGGTTGGTCTTGCTCTCTTTGGCTATCGATTTTTCATATTTCAGTTTAAACTATCTAATCAGCTTTTTACAGAAATCATAGGCTTCCTTATATCTTTTATAAGCTGCCTTTTATTTATATGATTTAAATAATGTGTAGTAATTGGTGGATTTGGGGATTACACCAGAATGTGAAGCAACTGTTTACACCTAATACCTGTTTAGCACCCAGATGTTTTTCAATTTTCTCTATATGATTTAAGTGCTTTAAATTTAATTTTCTTATATTTAATTGCTTTACTTACCTTCCTACTAAGAAACATTGGTTTAAATTTGCTTACTTTATATTTGTTTTCCAATGGTAAAATATATACTGAGAAGTGTGCATTTGTAGTATTTGCTTGGAGATATTCCATTTATCCTCTGTGCTTTTTCACTAAAGAGTTTACCCATGTCAATAAGTTGTAAAGTTGCTCTTATCTTGTTTAATTTAGCTTTTTTTTTTATTATATGTTTTGGTATACACAACGTACCTTTGATTCTCTATGATTAGAATCTATTTACTCAAACAGATAAAGCTAACATGCTAATAATCACTTTCATTTTCCCACAGTCATCTTGGACTCCTGTCTGTCTCTCTGAAGAATGCCAGCTTGGCTGCCATCTTGATACAAGTTCTGATATCGGTCTCAGCTCACAGATATGTGACTTTTGTCAGGCCATATTTCCAGCTGGCTCTGCAACCAAAGGAGAATATCTCAGGCATATTACAGGACACGTGGAATGAATTTTTTGCACCATTTACAACCTTAAAACCAGACTAGAGCATATACATGTTTCTATATATGTACATTTACTATGTAAATCTGAATCTTAGCAAAACTAATAAAATTCAGCTGAATGTTTGAGGAGCATGGATTTATGATTCTCCTCAAAGAGTTATGTAAATTACATGTTTTATGTACATTATGAAGCTTCCTACCAACCTAAAGTTTGTGATTTCTATTCCTTGCAAGGTCATCGCAGCCTTCATTCAATAGAGGTTGGTGAAAGTTACATTAAGATTTATAAGCATAACATCTATACTCCTGGATATATTAATAAATGAGAGAAAATACCAGTGTCTCCTTCGTGGTTAAATATTGTCGAGAGATTTGTTAAAGTGTTGTTTGGATTTTATGGACTCAAGCCTGGAACTTAGAGGCTAGGAGTATGTATGTAGACAGCAGTGGACCTGATCGTAACCTACAGAGTATTCATACTCCAAGTATGAACTATCTATTCCAAGTTCTTCATCTCATACCTGCTGCTCCACATCGGTTCCAGCTAAGCGATGAAAACCTCAGACAGTCTGTAAATACGTCCTCCTTCCTGAATATGATACTGTAGAATGGTCTTCTGCTTGTTAAAGTTTTATGTTTGTGAGGTTACTGTTGTCTAACAGAATTGTCTTTCACTACAAATAATGTTCTTGACAACTAAGATGCTTATTCACCAACTCTAAGTACAACCACTCAACACCAGAATCTCATTCCCCCAGGAGACCAGAGTCTCAGAGTCCGGTGCTAAAAGTACATTCATCACAGTGACCACTATCAGTAAAAACACCTGTTAACTTTGTCAGGTTTGTACACCAATGAGTGAAAGCTCAGGATTTTAAAGTAGAATTCACATTTTATGACAAAATAGACTCAAAATATAGCCGACTTGTAAATTTTTCCCATTAGGCAATTTTATCTAAAAATTCCTGACACTTTGCACTTTAGAGGATAACCTCATGTGTGTATTTTAACTCTTTCTAACTTTTTAAAAAATGTGTGCTAGTGAGTTCACATTAAGAAATCAATCTTGTTGTTTACTTTGAGATGATGATCTTTATGTTGTTGTTGTTTTTTGCAGAGAGATTATTTTAATGCCACTTTGGTGTCTTGATTTTTGTTAATAAATGTTGTGCATGTATTGACTGAGATTGAGGAAGTGAAAGTTAGAACAGTCAGGTCAGGAAGTGAAAGTTGATGAGCAAGTGTTGTCTGTCATACAATTGTGTTATTTTTGTCAGAAGCGGTTTGGTAGCTAGTTCCAGTTACGGACTAGCTGGAAACTACCATATGACCCTCTGATAATCTGTGGTCACATTTCCAGTTTCCACCAAATACGCGATACACATACTTAAACCAAGTTTGGGAAATGTTTACAAAGCCTTACAAAGAAAAAAAGGCAACAAACGTTTGTCGAGGGATTCTGAAACATATTGCCAATGAAGTGATTCAATGTCCTAAAATGTGTTGGTTAGTATACATCAGTTGTAGTTTTTACATTGTAGTTGGATTATTAATGTTATAAGCTTTTTTTGATATGTAGGTTTTGTGTCTGAGTTTTCTGAGTTGTTGTCAGCATAGGTCATCATTAAGGTGCAGAGGGAAAGGCTCACCCTCAAGAAATGCACTGCGCACACCTATGAATCACTGTAAAATAAACACTTTTTAAAAAGTTTTTTAACTATAATAATGTGTACACAACTAGTGTCGCTAAAGAAAATCACCCACAAATGATTTGATTTATCTAACTTACTTCTTGCTTATATTTAAAGCATATACACCAATCTTTTTCCATCTGTGCTCTACAACCAGTATAGTTTCTGAAGAATTATTATCTTTGGAAAGTCATGTTTTTTTCCCCATTATTTACTGTAATGATACAGTATGTTATTTGCAGTATTTCTTTTGACTTCTCTTTCTTTTGATCTTTGACTATTTTTAACCAATTTATTTTCTTTACATTTCCAAATTTATCTGAAAAGTTCTAAAAGTTCTTATTTTGCTGAAGACACGTCAGCAGCTATATCTTGGCTGGATGATGAGTAATGCGATTAGAGACTTGCTGAGCGGGGCCATTGCAAAATAAGATAAATTCATAAAAAAAATGTCACATAGAGTCAAGGGACATGGAGAAAATAGATGCTGCAATAAAATACAGATATATATATATATATATTTTTAGATGTTATTTATATAACCAGTTTCCAGTTCTTGACTTCAAGCACCCCTAATTATATTTATTTTTAAGCTCTCCTTTCTTGGATTGGCCATAATGACTAATTCATTGATCTGTCTGTGCCTTTCTTGAGCTATCCTGAAATAAAACTACATAACTAAAGGTAATTTGAAGACAGGAATTGAGAACCTGTGGTTTATATAAAAGCAGTTCCTCTGCACAGCAACGCCACAAACTGATTGTCACTCTCAGACAATTAGTTCTATAGCTCTTGCAAAAATGTGCAGATGGTTACTTAGATCAGAAGACTTATAATAATTCAAAAAGTGTTGTTTTCACTTTTCATGACATTAATTTGCAGCCTCATATGCAATTACTCATTGTCTAGTATGCTGCTTAATTTGCAAAAATGTAGCATACATGTTGACCTACAATTTAGTAAGCACAGTACAGATCAGAGGTAGTCAACCTTTTAATACCTACTGTCCAATTTTGTATCTTTGTTTGATGGTAACATTTCCTTACCGCCCACCAGTGCCGCAGTAACTAATTTTATAGCGCAAGTGCAATGTTTTAATTTTTTCAGAGTGTAGGGTTTTTTTAAAATATGTACTTAAATGTATATATATATTTATTTATTTTCTATTTTCTAGTCTACTTTTTTTTTCCCTCTCTATGCTGTTCTGAAATAAAACCTGAATCGTGAAAGGATTTTTCTAAGCCAATTGGTGAAGCTCCTGCCCAATGCTGCATGAGCCTTCCGTTATGAAGAATATCAAAAAGTGGAAAGACATGGGAGCAAAACGATCTGGCGTTGGAGTACAGAATTCGGGGTTAAATAATTCATGAATGGCTCAACCCCTAAAGGTAAGCCAGCACCAGGGACCTCCTGTCACCATAACAACCTCATTTTGATGAAGTTGTCATGGTGCACTGAGTGTTTGCTTAAATTTCTGTTTACGTCACGCCCGTATTGTAGTGATATTAACACACAAACTGCAAGTTTTGAAGAGCTGTAACTATAACTCCCACTTCCCAGTGATCGGCTGAGAGTAATAGCTGGCCATTACAGTATGAGGGAGGCTTCCCCATCATACCCTGAAGGTAAAATGCCACCCATTTATTCAGCATTTCACAGTAGGTCATTCTCAGAATTAATTATATATTATTACGTGATTGTAGCAGTGCCGTCCATTGAATTCGATTTTTCTTGAGTTGAGGTTTATGAAATAGGCACAGTGATCTTTTTTAATAATTGAGCACTAGCAGTGGCTGAGATATCTAAAAGTGTACACAAGGCTTGATTTTCCACCTTTTTGACACTGGTTTCGGGTCAGCAAGGAGAGTAAATCTGGGCAAGAGCATGCTTGGAGATTACCTGAGCTCACTGTGTTCTCACAGTATTCTCTCCATATACTTAGTACTTTTTACTAAGTCTGCTGAGTTCAACTTGGCCACACTGTTACTCCCATGGAGTTAAAGGGAAGCACAAAACAAAATAATAATGTATGCCTTTTCCCCGTGTTATGCTACAAAGTAGTTCCTTGTTTCCCCGAAGACAGCTGCTTAAAGCAGCAATGAGGCAACTCATCAATGAAAACATCAGGGAAGCAAATGTATATTTCTTTTTGTGCATCTGCGTACATAGACATAATGCATTATCAGAAAAAAATGTAAAGGTTGAAATAAATGTTGGTACACACTAAACACTATATAAACCCGTGATCTTAGCATTGCTTATTGAGCAAGGAGATCCACTTAACCCATAAACATTTACATGATTGGTTATATTGCAAACAACCCTTTAACCAACGGCTATTCCCCTCAATAGGAGACTCCACAAGAAAAGCTAATGCACTAAAAGCAGAAGTGGTTATGGTAGTTGGAGTAAACCATTAATAAGGCACTTTTGGTGTATAGATCATGCCCATGTAGTATCAATGCTCAATTCTTTGTCATTTAAGAGTTAAATCACTTTTGTTTTTGTTTATGCAGTTCTAACCACTCCTCCCCTGGTGGCAACTCATACAGCCTGCATAAAAAAAATGGTTTCAATCGGATGCAGCAGCTCAATGTGTTTACTTTATCAGTTGTTTTATCTCCTGCTCTGTTAATTGAACTTGAATTATACACAGGTTGGCCCTAGCAGGCTGTCAATAGAGTAGGAGGTAAGAGGTAAGCAGTATAAATGACAGTAGGGTAGGAGGTAAGCAGTATAAATGACAGTTCCCCTTTAAACTAATATAAACAGAAATTAAATGGACATTTCACTGTCAATGCTCTAAAATAATTGGTCATATGTTCACATAAATAATGATTTTGTCCAGTAATTGATCAGTTCCCTTCCTTTAACCCTTTCCCGACACTAGGGCATGCTAAGTCGTCCTACAAAAGGAGAGCTTTAGGGCGGCATGGCACATCCAAACGATCATGCAGCCAGAGTACTTACCCTATCGGGGAGACTACCTGACAACCTAGGCAGTTCCCATATAGCCAATCCCATCAATCCGATCCCATGGTCGCTATTACACTGCCTGGGTTATCAGGAAGTTCCCCTGATCAGATTGGATATGAAATAGAAATTATACTTTTAAGTAAATGTAGCCGGATGGAACATTTGTCTAAGTATGTTATATGGGATAATGTGCTTTCCCTATCAAACAAGTACACTTATTATGTGTTCAAAGGCAAGAAGGAATGGCCTCCATCTATGTCATCTTGCACAAACCATTAATATTGATTGAAATTAGCTAAATTAGATTGTAGGAATAGTAACCCCCAACATATATTTAATAAAATCACTTATGGATAACATTCTCAGGCCTTTACCAGCTAAAGCAATTTAAACTTAAATTTTAAATGCTCAAATAAACTAGTCAACATTTCAGTTTTAAAAGCAAACCTTTCATCAGGACAGTGCTCAAAGGCATGCCTCCAAACCCTCTGGGTATGAGAGCCGGGAAGATTACTTCATACCGTAACATGCGGTGACGTCAGACTAGCATGCGAAGTGCTGTTATGGTCTGCCAATCATTGAGTAAAAAGATTCCCTAAGAAGGAATTGTAGGTGTATTGTGCCAGGTACTGCACATGCTCTTTCATTCCCTAATGTTCCTCTATGAGGAGCTTTGGATCGGCCCATCATCCTGAAGGCATGTCTCTAGGATGACGCAACCCAAGAAGGAGGTTACGGCACTACCGAGGGAGACTCGGTGCTGGAAAATGAAAGTCATTTGTTAATTTTTTTATTATTTTGGGGGTTTATAAATGGGAGGACAAATTGATAAGGGGCAACAGGACTGTAGCATTAGGAATACATATATGAGACATATATATGTATTCCTAATGCTACAGTGTTCCTTGAAGTTTAGAAAAATTACTGTTATGCATCACCTGCATATCTTAAAGCAGCACTGTCACCCCCTACCCACTGAAATACAGATAGAATCTTTAAGAAATACTCATTTTGACCATGATGAAATTTCACTGAAATTCCAATCCAGTCAAGAGATATACTGAGACAAAGTAGGGACTATTTTGTCTCTGTGTATTTCCTATGCCTGATACTTCTAGACACTGGATCAAGGTATCACCGTCTAGAAGTGTCAATCGCCCAAGCCGTCACCAGTGATGGCTGCAGGGTATTGGCTTTATCTAAGGAGGATCTAGCGGTCTTGCAGCATCCTACATAGACCTCAAAACTGTACTCTTGCACATGCGCGAGAGTACAGCAGTGACATTGGCTCCACACCCATTCCAGAGTTGACATGCAAATAAACACAGACAGGCATCATGTTTTGAACTTAATTTGCATTCCTGCAGATGATCCAGATAATAAGTAACAAGATACCATCCAATGATTGTACAGTTTTGACTTTGTGGGTCTCATCACCATGTTGCTGGTTCTGGTCTGGAAGTTGATGTCTCTATAAACGCATATAGCAAGGTACCAAAAAGATTGTGGTGAGACCAAACACAATAAAACAGCCCACAGAGCGAATAAAAAAAAAAAGATTGTTATGTATCACCTGTATATCTCAAGTTGGACTTTGAGAAGAACCCTTGGAACTTGGGACCTGAAGTGTAAAATTCACTTTAAAATTGAAATTACTTATTATTTCACCTTTACTTAACAATTTAAAGCAAATTCTATTTTCCGAGTTTACCACCAGGGGACAGTAAAGCATTTGTTAAAAATAAATAAACATAAGCGTTCCGTCCTTGACTCTGAATGAGA